GCGAAGAAGGCCATCCTCTCCCTGGACTACGACTGGAGGGAGCAGAGGGTCTTTTGGGTCAGTCTGGACACCGACGGCATCAAGTGGTCCTCGCTGGACCAGAAGACCACAGGAACTCTGATTAAAGGTCGGTGCAACACAAATGTTGTCTCGTATTGTAGGGGACATCGATGGAGGAATGCATAGTAATTGTTGTGAATAAGGATACTTAAGGCGTGCGACACCTTGTTTTCACAGGTGTCAGAGCTGATTCTATTGCTGTTGACTGGCTCGGGAGGAACCTGTACTGGATCGACGGCGAGAACAGTCAGATTGTTGCCGTCAGTCTGGCCACAGGCACTGTGAAGTCAGTGGGTCACAGTGTCATCCTGGATGAAGATCTGGATCAGCCTCGCTCTCTGGCACTGCTGCCACAAAAAGGGTCCGCATGACTTCATTTCATTCTCCTAACTCGTGTACAATGTTTGTAAAAAAAAAAAAAACAACATATTTTTTTTATGTTTCTACCAGGCTGATGTTCTGGACTGAGATCGGTAATATAGTGAAGATAGAGCGTGCTGGGATGGACGGGTCAGAGAGGACTGCAGTGGTGAACTCCAGTCTGGGCTGGCCAGGCGGTGTGGCTGTGGACACCATCTCTGAACGAGTCTACTGGACGGATGAAAGGCTGAGGGCGATTGGATCTGCTACACTGGATGGAGATGACATTCGGGTAAAACCTTTTGGAAGTGGGATGTTGTCTGGTTCTAATATTTGAAAGAATAGTTCTGAGTTTGGATGCAACCACTCAAACACATGTTTCAGGCTTTTAAAAATAAATTTAAACTCGACACTAAATCTACCAACAAAAGGTCCTCCTGCCCGCTATAATTAAAAGTACCCCACAATGGGCCCTTCATTAAAGTTTATACATTTTTTTTTTTGGATAAATTTCATCCAGAGACAAGTGAAATGCTTGAATAATAAATCTGTCTAATGTAATTTTCAGATTCTACAGATGAAAGAGACCACCAACCCATTCTCCCTGGCAGTGTTTAATGACATTCTCTACTGGTCTGATGCCAAGAAGCGAGTGGTGCTGGCTGCCAATAAAATATCTGGCAAAAACCACCAAGTTCTCCTGAAAAGACCCGGACAACCTTTTGCTGTGAAGGTGAGCAAAATCTTCAGAATTGAGTTAGAAATGGGGCTGCTACTGTACGACGGAGAAACTAACTAAATTTGGCTCACTTTTTGTGTGTGAAGTGCTTCCAGCAGTGATCCATACTGCCCACGCACAGCTGACTTTAAATGTTTGAAGTGTTTCATGTATGAAGAGAGACCAGTTTTGGGAAATTATAAAAAAATACCTGACTTTTGTTTGAAATGTACCATGTGCTAGATATAATTTATCAGCATGAATAGCATTATTAAAACACTTTCCTGTTCCCTGCTTGGTTTGCAGGTCATCCATCCATTGCTCCAGATGGGCATTGAGAATCAGTGTGAGAAGATGAGATGTTCCCACATGTGTGTGTTGGCCCCGGGACCCAAGGCTGTCTGCAAGTGTCCCACTGGACTCTTACTGGCTGAGGATGGTCTTGCCTGCTCCAGCCAGGTCAATTCAGCATACCTGCTGATGCTGTCTCCCTCTACTGTCACCCAGGTTTTTGTTATATAATAAAGCATAGTTGCACTAAGTCTACTTTGCTTTTAACTGAAGATGCTTTTTAAAGGAAAAGTTGGGTAATGCGTTACCACTCTCATATCTATACTCCAAGATCTACTTGCAGTCCCGACACACAGCAGCAGACCTGCAGGGCTGGCCTGAACACCTGGTCTTGCAGGTGCCCGGCGTCAATGAGGCAGCCATCATGGACTACAGCCTACGTGACCAGACCCTCTTGGTGACAGATGACGGCACAACTTCACTCAGCTCCTTCAAACTTAAGGGCTCTGACTTGTCCTCTCAGGGCCAGCTTCTAAAACTCTTTGGGAACACCATCACCGCCATGGCCCTGGACTGGGTAACGCATAATGTCTACTGGAGCAGCAACAAACAGCCCCGCCTGCAGGTGACCTCCATCCCCAGTGCACACACTGCTGTTCTCATAAAGGAAGGAATTGTTAGAGTGGAGTCCATCGCCCTCCACCCTCCCAGTGGACGAGTTTGTTTCACCAACCTGGGCCTGCAGGGTACAGACACAGTCGCTACGGTAGAGTGTGCCAACATGGACGGTGCCAGACGGAGTGTGGTGTGGAAGGATGCTGTCCAGCCCACATCTCTGGTCTTCTCCAGTAATGGGGATACGATTTACTGGGCTGACATGGGTAAGACTTTGTTTTTAACAAATTTTCAGTATAGTTGGTCAGTTTGTTTTCAAAATGTTTCGTGCTCTAAAAGTGTAAAAAAAGATACCATTTGTTTAGAAAAGCTGTAACATAGCTTGGATTCCTGCCCAGATCCTGGGACCATCGGCTGTGTCCAGCTTGATGGATCCGGATACAGAGAGTTGAAGGCCGGTGATGGCCTGACTGCTGTGGCTCTGAGTGATTATGCGCTGCTCTGGATGACTGTCAGTGGTAAGGGGCTCATATTGTATGTACTAAATGATATATTTTTAATGCTATGTTGTTTGTACTAACTACCAGGAGGTGTGGCTGTCCAAATAATAACTTTATCTGAAATTGTTTTTCATCTCTGCACATTTCTTTTTCTTCTAAAAATCCATAGCACAAGACATTAATAATTCCTGCATGATTTGTCTCAAAATACGCAACTGGCAACTCGTAGCTTTATCGTTTAGAAATCTATATTAAGATGTTTGACCATCCAGCGTGATGGAATGTTGTTACTACTCTAGCTACATTACTTTGTGTTGATGCTTTCCTTCAGACAAGACTCGGCTTTGGTACCGAGATGAGCAGCAGCAGCAAAACAAGTTGTGGTTTGAGGTCGACACAGAAGTAATCAGCTTAAAGGCGTTCAGCAAGTCCAGTCAGACTGGTACGTAAGAACTACACACTGTAGCGGTTTTGATGGCGGTTAAAAGGGTATTCCAAATGTGAGCGTACTGAGGTGGTTGTCGTCTAGTGCCAATCACAAACACCAGTTGATGGTCAATCTACTGACCTATTGTTCACAGGTTCAAACCAGTGCACGGAAAACAACGGCAACTGCCACCACTTATGCCTCGCCATCCCAAACGGACGGACATGCAGGTGTGCTCATGGCCAAACCCTTGTGAATGCCACCCACTGTGGCCCGGAGCAGCGCTGCCCAGATGGCGGCAGGCAGTGTCTGGATCAACTCTCATGCCAGCCTGTTGAGAAGTTCTGTAACGGTCACGTTGACTGCTATGACCACTCGGATGAGAACTGTGAGTCTTTATACTTGTTGCTTTTTAAAAAAAAAAAATGATTTTCTTAATCTAAAACCAACTCATGAGTTCTCTGTTGACATTTAGGTGTTGGTCTGAAGCTGTGGTCAGGAGTCGAGGTCCTTGCAACCACCCAGCTCAGCAGCTCCTCTCCTACTACTCCTCTGCCCACTGTAACTCTTTCTGAAGTCACTGGCCTGAACTCCACCCTGAATGCAACTAGTCTACTCAAGAACCTGGATGCCCAGCAGTGCAGCCAGAAACGCTGCAGTGGCAACGGACGCTGTATTGAAACCAATGGAGATGCTACATGCCAGTGTTCACTGGCCTACAGCGGTGACTCCTGTCAAGACAATCTCCTGAAGACCATGCAGGGTCCCATTATCTACAGCGCCGCGGGGCTCTGTGCAGGAGTGATGATCATTGCTGTGATGGCAGTCGTGGTTAAGCGTAAGAGGCGTGCCAACACAAGGTTCGTCTGATTACTAAGAAGAAACCTTCTAGTCACAAAATAAATGTATACAGTCTGCAGCTTGAGATTAAATTTCTCTAAAAGACATTCTTTTTTTTTTTTTTTAAAGTCCACAGCTCTCTGAGACTTTTATTCGCCAGGTTTGAGCTAACATGCTTGAGGTGTTGACACTTGCAGGTGTAAATCAGTTTACAATTTAACATTTGCTAATTGGTACTACACAGAGTACAGGTGAGGCTGAGGGAATGACTATAGACTTGCCAGTATTATGCCACGGCACAGATCTACTCGGCGAAAGGTGTGTGGGTTTTTTTTTTTTTTTTTTTTTATTTTTATTTTTATTTTTTTTTATTTTTTTTTATTTTTTTGGTACCACCTCAGTCGAGGATCCAAGCGAGCAGATGCAGAAGGTTGCGGTAAAACACTGAAAACTACTGATTGGTCAGAGAATCACTAGAATTGTCACTTGGCAACATGGGACATAATGAACATTTTCATATCGTAGCAGTTTCACGAGGAGTTATGGCAATTGGCTGAGAATCCCGCCTACATGGAAAACTAAATGCAGTGAAAGTGTGGCACTTGGTAATAAAGGTTGATTATTTTCTCATTGTACAACACAGGGTTGCACACTGAAATGCAGCTGTAGTCCCTTTTATGCTACATAAGAAATGTATTTGACAAATGGAACTTATGACAAAGTCGGTATGCTTCGTCCTCTGGGGAACATGAACATTTTTCCAACCTTGATAGCAATCCATCCAATAGTTGAGACGTTAGTCCGGATCAAAGTGGCGGACCGACTGACTTTACTATTTCCAGAGCTACGCTGCTGGCGTGGCTGAAATGAAGATGGCATCATGTGCCTGTTCCAATTTTAGGAATATTGATGTAAACCTTCAATGTGTCTCTACATTTGGAGTCTGTGCAGATTGGGTAAAATGTTTGCCCCAAATGGCAACAGTTGCCATTATATAGAGCACAGGACTACTTCTGTATTTCCTTCCTGCAGGAGAGCTAGCCTAGCAGCAATGAATGGCACCAGTATGACGGACCTGGAGAACAAAGCTGAGACCACACAAACTGCCCCACCAGAGTCTGACAAACCAGAGGTTGGCTTCCAAAAAAATTCCATGAACTAGAAGGTTCCCAATTTTGTTAGTTCTTGTGGGATGGCGGGCTGACTTTGCTTTCTTTCTTTGCAGGAAGTGGCATCTTCTGTGGAATGAGGTTGATTCTTGGGCAAGCAAAGTTTTAAATAAAAGGTTGCGTCTTGCACCGGCTCCTGTAAAGTCATTTCTGAATTGTTTACTGTCAGACCACCAATGTTGATATTTTGACAGATGGTAAAATAAAGTTAGTTCAGCCAAGGTGAACATCCCACTTGAGAAACATGCAGTAAGTATTGGCATGCTTGTGTTAGCATTTAGCTACTGCTGTACAGCCTCACAGAGCTGAAGTCTGGTTTTACTGATTTATTTTGATCAAGTGATGTGTGAGGATTAAGTTGGGTTTTTTCTATTATTATTCAGCTTAAACCCTACTTTGATACGAACATGCTACGCTTTTCACATCACTACATACATTTGACAAGTATTACTTTAAAGATTAACTTTTTTTAATTTTTTTTTTATTTTCTAAATGCGAAACATGTGATCGGCATATATAACATGCCCCATTGTTATAGATGGAGGGCATATAAAGTAATGGTTTAAAAAAATTCTCTTGAAAGTTGCTGTAATAAACTAATTTTGGGACATTTGACTGGATTCAAGAGGGTGTTTCTTTGGATGAATGGCATATTTGATTGCTGGAAGAAAAGCTATTGAATTACTTCAGACTGTATTCTGATAACATGTATTTAAAGTCTATACTGGTTTTTTTTCTTCCCATTGTTCATGCATCGTTTCGTTGTAGCTGCTGGAGGTGACGCTGGTTTTAACTATAAAGTGTTGTACTTTTCTATATGGACGAAATGTAATCTGAAGACATTTCGGTGTAATTTAAGTCTTAAAAACATTAATTTGCATAGTTGAAATATTTTAGCCTGTTTATCAACTTGTTTGAAAAACGTAAATCTGTATCATGAAAGAGGTTTTGACAATGGGATTCAGAAAGTTTTTAGAAAATACTTTGAAATGCACTTTGATTTGCATACAAATGTGTTGAACTATTCTTTCCACAATGGCAGATTTTAGTTTCACCTTTTATAGTAAAATACAGTCTTAAACTCAATTCCAGACTTAATAAGATCATCATGCATCATGTTTTTAGTATAATGAATAATCTGCAAAATAACTAGTCAGGTAAATGTGGAGATAAAAGCACAATATTCCCCTCTGAAATGCAGTAGATGCACAATGCCGTTGTATAGTGCTTATGGCTTATTTGTTTCAGCAAATACAGGAAAGAGCGATAGCATTTCTGAGGACTACATTTTGTGCTGACTTTATGGTGACTGTGATGTCTAAACCAGTGTGTAGCTCTACTATTCTGCTTCAACAACGAAAAAGCAATCTAAGAGGATTTGTGACAAATGTTAACTTTTTTTTTTTTTTTTTTTTACAAAAACAGCTTTTCTAAGTGAGGATTCATCAGAATCCAGTGAGCCAAATTCATCAGAGGAGATTGACGCTCATGTTGGGCCTTCACAGGAGCTACTGCCGCCAGCATCTACATAGACAGACATGCCGAATTCTATGGAGACTGACCCCCAGCTTCCCTCTGCAGACGCAGGGCCTTCTCCAGCCACGCTCAATACTTCAGCTCTATCAGACCCAGAGGATCCCCAAACCTCCGCTGACACAGACCCTTTACAGCTTATGCCAGATGATCCTTCACAAACTGCACTAGGCATGGACGTTTCTCAGGACATGCCTGATTCTGATCCTTCACAGGACTCTAACGCTGACACGGTGCACGTTCCACCAGATTCAGAGGGCTCACTCCACCCAGGGTGTACAGAAACGGATACAATCATAGCTGTTGGTGGCACAAATCAACCAGAAGTCACCGCATCCCTAAGATTCCCCCAGGGTGTCACTCCACCCTTTCCTCTACACATCATACCAACACCTCTACAATTCTCGATAGCCCCACCCCTGCCAATCGCAATGGGACCCGCCCTGACTGGTGTTCCCGTTTGTTTCACCTTCCAGTTCACGACCCCTGAGCCAGATCCACCAAGAGGAGACAGCATGTGATCCAACCAAAAAGATTTAGGCCCAATCCCAATGTCCCCCCCCAAACCCTGAACCCTCAAGGACTTACTGACGTCACCTGGTAAGTGTGTGAGAGACTATGAGGGCTTGAAATGGTGTTAATGGGAATGGGACAGCACTTCGCTGCAACATATGTTATGAAAACGACAAAAAATATGATGTATAGTTGTGTATTTATTTTATACTTTGTACTCCCTGATTTGAAAGTCTTCCAGGCTCTTTCCTCACAAGATGAGGTAATTTTATATAATCTATTTACTTGTTTTTGTCAAAACTGCTTCAATGAAAAAATCAAATATTTGATGAATAAATAAATATTCTGATTTCATGTTTATTTTTTGTTCCATCTTTAACCCTTAATGTTTCTGAATATGACAGGCTGAACACACGTGAGCTGTCCTTTGTTTACCTTTTTTTACGTCTCCATGCGTCCACTGGTTACCCCGTGTTTAACATCACATTGCAATGATTTGTGGGTAATTCCCTTAGGCCGCGGCACATGTTTTACAATATCAGTGGTGATTTATTTTAATAATAGTGCTCGTGTACCTGACTGCTACACAAACACAATTGAAACTGAATTCATATGAGCAGCTGAAAATTAAAATGTGATCAAATGTTCTTATCTGTAATTCAATGATCGGTTCAGAACACAATGGTGAATAATAGCTTCGTAAAATCATGTTTGTATTGCTGTCATTGTAAAATGTAACCAAGCAAGTAAAAACACAAAAAGCAATCAAAGGCCTGATGTCGCAGCAGCCACACTATAAATGGCAGTACTGTATGTATTGCCTGATATCAGACAGAATTGTCAACTCATTGCACTCTGTTTGCAGACTTGAACTCAGTGGAGTGGGCGGATTCAAAGGTGTACTGTGTGTATGTTATGAGAAGGAAACACTCAATAAATGTGTTGCAGTTGGATTTATGTCTATTATATCTTAACAAACAGGCAATACTTGGAACATATTTCCTATGCCACAGACCATACTGTTATCTTATTATCTGGCTTTTGAATATGAGCTGGTTCAAAGGCCCAATAACCATTTTATAAATTACAGGCACATTAACAGTCATTAATGAAGTGTTTCCCTCGTCAATGGAAAATTATTATTTCTAATATTTCTCCATTTATACTTCAGTTTTTGATAACAGAACTGATTCAAACAAGTAGATAACATGACGGGTGTAAAAGAAAAACAAGAAACCTGTCAATCATTTGGAGAGCAACAGACGAGGCAATGCTTTCGCTTGTATTTGGATTACAGCTTTAAACAACAATTTGATAGTCAATATGACACCTAAATCAAACTAAACCATATAATAATGAATAAGACCGGAACCCACTCTTAGTAATTATTAATATTATGGTTTAGTTTGATTCAGAATGATGCTGTCTGTTTATTTTTTTTGACTGAATGGGCATCTGAACAAAAAAGCAGCTAAATTAAAGAGTGCACTTTTCTAGATAGTTGAATGCATCTCCATATATATTTTAGTCGCCCTGTGTGTCAGTTCCACTTTTCACAAATCCGGAATTGTATTTGAATCCTATGCACCTGGTTTGTATTGCCATGCTGCCAGTATGACAGTTAACCTGCAGGCTTACTATGTCGCTAATCACCAACGTCTGCCTGAGGCGGATTTCTATTTGGGTCTGACAAACTTACAAATCTGGTACTAAGTATAGTTGTACAGGCAGATAAAGGACTGTGTGTATTCCAAGCTGACACACTTATGTGAACACTTACGTAGAACATTTAAATAGGATGTACAGTAGGATGACAGTCCCTGAACTTAACAGAAAACAATCACAATTGTTCTGATCCACCACCAGTAGTAGTTAACCTGCTCATTCTTTATCTTCATCATGGTGCCACACAGTGGCTCAGAGGTTAGACTGTCACCAGTAAGTCCCTCCGGGGTGGTCAGATGGACTATGACTCCAGATTGCCTGTAAGTGTGTGAATCCTGTGATAGCCTGATACACTTCACCTCACCCAGTGCATGCTGGGAAAGGTTCCAGCCCTGAAGAGGATAAGCAGATACAGAAAATAGATGGGATTGTTCTTGTAATATGTACAATCTAGGAATATTGGCTCAGTCAACTGTTACACTCAATGTAAGTTGGTCCAAGTAAGTGAACCAGCCAAACATCTAAAGTACAAATGTCAATGTTTAATCTGGCGTAAGCGATTAAGTTTGATCTTGCTGCTCTGGCTCCGTGTCTGTTTCTGCCTCATTCTGCTCAGCGTCCTGCTCTGGCTGCTGCTGCTGCTGCTGTTGTTGTTGTTGTTGTTGTTGAGGAGACTGCCGGATGAGTCCCCCATCCTGTGCAGTGTTGTAGGAGCCACAGCTGCTGCACTTCATCCCCAGCACGTGGAAAGGCACCGTGCAGTGGGCTTGGCAGTCGTTACATATAATCTACAATGAGGAAAAACAAAGGTAATGGATTACATGAAAAAGATAACCAAGTAGATGATTAATCACAACAATTACAAAGTCCCATCTCTATTGAATTGTACAAATTGGATTGAATGAAATGGAAACAAATGGGGATGTCATATCAGTAATTCAACACTTCTTATGACTAAATTCAAATAATAAATGTTGATTTGATCGTATTACTGAGGTCTTACTTTGACAGTTGCACCCTGGTATTCAGTGGGCATCGGTGACAGGGAAATCTCTTCGTCTATCTGATCCCAGTGGTCCTCCATCTTCCAGGCAGAGTGCATACACAGAGGACAGCGATACGCTCTTAAATAAATGAGAGAAAAACATTGCATTTAGTGGAAGCACTGTAGTTACCGGAGCACTGTGAATCCACACACGCATGCAGCAGGTCAGAGGTCAGCTTTTCCTCACACCGTCTGAATTTAACAAATAGTCAAATGTTCAGTGGGGGAAACCGACTTTGTGTTAGTTTCAGTCGGACTTTGGATGGAACCATCTTAAATAAGAAGACATGAAAACCAATGACTGATGCAGGACTCAATTGTTCGAGCAATGCATGAAACGTTTATGCCAAATAAATAATGTTAACGTGGAACAAGAACGTGTTTTACTCAACTATAGAATAACCAGGAATGATTACACATACCCTGTTCTGACCATGTCATCAAAGCAGGTCCTGCAGAGCATGTAAACAAACACGTTAATATTTAATAAACAGCTCTATATCAGAACACATCCTGAAATACGATTACTAAATAAATACAATATCTATTTAACGATGATATAGGACTAGAAAATATAATATTTAGATTCATTAGTCTACATCACCTACAATATTTGAATGCGTTTTACAGATACTATGATTTATTTTAAAATGTGGTTTATAGAGTAATCAATCTGGCCAATGTCATACATTTATGTATTTGTTTTCTGCAGTGTAATGAAAATTAGGATATATCCATATTGAGAGAATAATGAGTCATACCTGTGTAAAAGATGGCCGCATGGAAGAACGTGAGCTCTAATTCTGGACGTGTGAATATCCTGAACGCACAAGAGAAAATCATGTAAAATCCTAGAGAAGGTAATGAAACGCATAAACAAATCAACAGCCCGTCATCGAATATATTTCATTACCTCCATACACACTGGGCAGTTCTGCCTCGAAACGTTTTCAACACACTGAAACATAAAAGATGGATGTAAGTAACAGCAGTGAAGACACTCATTTGCTCATCACACAGACATAACACAGGCTAATAATCACCTTGTGGTTTCCCCGCAGATCCTGAGCTAAACACAGATTGCACTTCTCACAATGGAAATACTTCTCCCGGGGCCCAATCCTGTAGGGGTCCAAACACAACGTCACAGACGACAATTACCTCATGTATGAACGACATAACAACTGACGACGTAAAATATCAACGTGTTCAGTCGTATGGCAGATTTCTGCATCAGTTTATATTATCTTGAATAGGTAAACCAGCCATTTCAAAGAGATATAATATTATATATTACACACGTTGAATAATTCATAAATGAGACCAAATAATGCAATCAGGCTGAGATAACAGGCCCTTGCTTAGCCTAGCCTTTCATATTACATTCAATGTTATCAGTAGACTACAATTATCTGAACCAAAGAACATTCAGGCCTCGTCATGTGGATCAAAGTTAAACTAAATTTCAAATAAAAGACTGGGTTTCACCTTGAGGCATTTGTACTTTTATTCCCCAAATACCCAGATCACTGTTAGTGTCTTCTATTTAGGCTATATCCTAAAAACAGATTTGTAACAGAGTGACAAGTGTTTACGATGTATAAACTCTGCTAGTGCTCACCTGCATATTCCACAGGGCTGACAGTGGTACTGCTTCTTATCCTTATCGAACAAGTGGCAAATGTCACAGTAGTACTCCCCAAACTGCTCATGACACTGCTGGCAAGTCTGCTGGGCCTACAAGAGCGACATCTTTCATTTGTACCATTCTTTTAACCACTACATAGACGAAAACAACATGAAAACCAAAGGGAAACAAGTGACTTTTAACATCACTTAGTGGTACAGCTACAGCTGACGTTGGAGTTGTTCTTTACCTGCTGCACTGTCTGACACTCAGAGCACTGCACCTCTCTGACTTTGAATCTATCCATCTGGTGGTTCTCCTCTGCATCATGGCACAGCCGACACACGTACAGTTTACCACAGCAAGGCGCCTGCAGTGCACATAAACATGTGTGAAATAGTCTCATCACAGCTCGACAACAACATGCATCTGCTGCAACAACACTGGAAGTTAAAAGAAAGGTTTGACATAGTCAGTGATAAGCTAAGTAATGACATAATGGTACTCACTAAACTCTAAAGCGCTCACTATTTCCATAATATCAACATATAATAAAGGTATGAGACACTAACTAAAATGTCATAACCATTCAGCTGCCGTGTTACAACACCAGCTAGTGTTTTAGTAACCACGTTAACTAACGCTAGTAGGCTAGCTATGCTAGCTGTGAGTGGTTATACAGAGTTAAACAGAAGCACTATTCGTTGTAGCAGTCACAGTGAGGCAACATTAACATGACTCCATCATGCATGTAGGGAACATATATACGATACATTTCAAAAAGTTAACTCACTTTCAATAAGCAGCTGCGTACATAATGCTCGCAACCGGCAGGGGAAGCCATGTTTCCTCCAGAAAAACTGACTCTTCGGGTACATCCCAAGACTCTTAATTGCATCCCCGTTTCCCTCACTTGGGTCCTTTCCTTGCGTCTTAGTCCCTCCCACCACGGATGCATGGAGGAAACCATGCGAGGAGAGAGGAACGAGGAAATGTCTTTTAAGAGACACGAGGCGTCCTTTCCTCAGTTGTGTCACGTGAAGCGACGTCTGTTTCTGATGACGGAGGTTCAGCTGTCAGTCGGCTGGAGAGACTTTTGACAAGTTTGTGTGTGTTCACATGATCACTGTACTTAATAACAGTAACTAATAATACTAATAACTAATAAATACACACAGTAATCACCACTGTAGAGGTGTTTCTCTCTGTAGTCTGTTGTCCTGTGTTCTGTTTATAAGCGCAGGATCCATTTCTACCGGCGGAATGCGATCGTCTTATTTATGAATTATTTGCGTCTGTACGTTTTGAAATTCAGATTATGACGTCATTATTAAATAACCCAGAATATGATTATTGTTTCTCTTAAATGATAAAACTCATCAAACCCGACAATCAGGAATGAACAGCCTCACGTGACTGAATGAAACGATGATAAATGATGTAAAAAGTGTTTCTTATTTAAACTTATTTAAATATATATATATATATATTTAAACTTATTTAAATATATATATATATATATTTAAATAAGTGTTTCGTCTCTCCAGTTCCCTCTGACTTTAATTGTTTCCATAATAAAAGTTCAGATCATGAAAACACAAATCTTTGTGGTCCTTTTGTTGTTCAGTCTACAATGAACATTTATTTAAACCAGATGTTGAATCAGAAAACGAATCAAATATAAAGCTTGAGTTTATTCTGTGATCCGTCTTCACTGTTTACATGTTGAAAAAAATCTCATCAGTCCGATCGGCTGCAGCGTCCAATCACATGACTGATGAACAGTGAGGGAGCGTGTCGGCCGTTAAAAGACTTCCTGGAAGTCTGTTCTCGTGGGTCCTCGCTCATGGCTCCTCGGAGATCCCTCCTCTCTCCTCGATCCTCTCTCCTCAGAGCTAAATAAGAGCTTTGGGACGGCCGTCAATATGGCAGCGCAGAACAACTTCCGGTTCAAGCGAGGATCGAGGAGTGAGGAAATGAGAATTAAGAGACTTGGGATGTACCCTTCTTCTTCTTCGAGTGCAATGGCGAGACTGGCCTTTTTTCTTCTTCTTCGTCTTCTTTTTTTCTTTTTTCTTTTAGACAGAGCAGTGCTGCCCTCCTCCGTTTGAGAATCATAGGTGATGAATGGATTTTTAGATGCATTCTGAACCTATGATCCTGCAACATTAGCTAAAACCGTTATATTATTATCTTTATTGGTTGTGCATTAATTAATACATTCCTGTGACATGCCAGTGGCTCCTTTCCTCTGTAACATTTTCGGATTTTAAAATAATTAAATAATTTTCAAATAATTTGAACTCTTTAGTAGAAAGGATCATTTCATTGTAATGCTTTTTTTTTTTTTTTTAACATTTGCGCTAATTTTGAGTTCCCTCACCTTTGATGCACCACAGTCATCAATGTTTTACACTCTTTTCTACTTCTGCCTCGTTAACTGTTGATCTATATCTTGTATATTGCTCCCTTCACTCGTTGTGGCTGCGCCGCTGGTGTAGTGGTATCATGCAAGATTCCCATTCTTGCGACCCGGGTTCGATTCCCGGGCGGCGCACGCTTTTTGCTTTGGCAACTAATATTGAAAAATAAATTGCTAAAATGTGGCAATGATGAACTGTAGCAAATAACTCCCATGTTGGAATCACCTACCGTACACGGTACGTTATTGTGTAACTTGCTGGGTTAACGGTGCGTTTCACAAATGTTTCCAGTTGTAATTTCTTTACGTTTTTGCATCACGGTTGATTAAGCTATGACCACAAATAGGATAATTGGGAAAAGCATTCTACGCTGTTATGCAAAGCTACAAAACTCGGTGTGTTTTGTAGCTTCTGCCATAAAAACGTAGAGGCACATCTTCGTGTGTGTGTGTGTGTGGCAGAAAGAGCGCTTGATTTTGGCTTCATTTCAGCGCGCAGGTTGACGCTGCTGACGCCGCTCCTCCGCCATCTTCAACTTCCTATTGTTTGCATCAGACTGAGGCTGTCTGCGGTGTGTGTGCGAGAGCAGAGTCGGCCACCGATTTATCATTAAATAGTAGATTAATAGCCTTTTACGTTCACGGTCGCTCAAGTTCAGCACAAACCATTTGTATGTCATTGGATTAAAGAAGCTCTCAGGACGCGACCACTAAACCTTGATGATGGAGGACGATCAACCCAGAACCTTGTGAGTAACAGCGGCGCCGTCTATGTCCTGGAGTGGGAAGGCTCGGTGTAACTACTGTCCGAAATGTTTCCACGTTGTTGTTTCAATTAAAAACTATAACATCCTCTCATTTTGTCACAAATTAACATTTAATTCGTGATATCTTAGCATGGGGGAAAACAGCAACGTTTGTAAATACAGTACACATGTTGGATTTTTAGCGTGAAGTTGTTTGATTTACTCGTATAAATAGACGGAACCTGAAAATGAAACTGAATGGCTAGCTAATGCTAGTTATCATTAGCCAAAGAACCCAAACTCAGCTAGCCGGTCGCTTCTTTCACAATGAACGCGTTTTTATTGTATGATTATACTTCTCCACTACAATATTCGTGTTTTATTAGCAACAGGCATGCGTTAGCCAGACCCTCGCAGAGTGGATGTAATTTGAGTGCCGTCTGTTGCCAACCCCAGCTAGCATGAGGCCCTCATGAACCGGCTATCTGTAGCTAGCTTTAGCTAGCTGGTAGACGAGCCACGTCAACGCTCGGAGAGAGACGGCCCGGGACAGCTCGTGTTAGACCGGCCACACTCGAGTTATCTGTGTGGGATTGAGACCATCCCCAATAATATTTAGTCCACCATCATTGTTTTTATGCTAATTTTAGGAATTGTTGTGGGTTGTAGCTAGCCCGGTTAACTAGCCTTTGTTTGCTTGCTACTTCCTGTTTGACAAAGACTCTATACCCCCTCCTCCCCTCATCTCTCCTTGTTTGCAGGTATGTGGGGAATCTGTCCAGGGATGTCACTGAGCCCCTCATCCTGCAGGTCTTCACACAGATAGGACCTTGCAAGAGCTGTAAAATGATAGTGGATGTGAGTGTTATCCTCTCTGGTGTATATTGTTTCACTCAACAGTGGCCTGAGAGGTGGTGGTGCTGCTTGTGAAATTCTCAATCTACATTATGTGCATGAAATTGATTTTGTTCTCCCAGTCTATTATATCAGGCCTGACACTCCAAACTACAGTGGGTGGCTCTTGTCATCTGTAGTGATTAAATTGTCCCCCTTTGCTGTGGATTCAATATCAGTCTTGTTCTTCCATTGACAGACTGCTGGAAATGATCCGTACTGCTTTGTGGAGTTCTATGACCACAGGCATGCCGCTGCCTCACTGGCAGCCATGAATGGAAGGAAAATAATGGGTAAGGTAAGCTATCGTGTCTACAGGGTGAGTGGGGACGGGCGGTCTTTGGTAATGGGCTGTGTGCCTTCTAAATATAAAAAAAACTACTAGTTGACTGCTAGTATTTATAATCCATTAATTAGTTCGATTAGATACTTCATGTTTCCAGCCGGAGATTAGATTAGTTTTCTTACTGTGAAGGGGAAGTTGCTGGAGCCAGGGTCTAAATCAGATCTTGAACATGTTGGGGCATCACTACTGCCAGGAAGCTATCTCTATTTTGGTAAAATAGGATCTCTTAAAACATATGATGCTGTGGCGTTAGGGCTGGAAGATTTTATCATCGTGTGGCTTGAGTGTTTTAAGCAAAGTAAGGTTTGGCAAGAAAAAAAAAAAAAACACTGACAAAGTTGATTTGTGCTAATACAGTGATCTACTAAACAAGCCAGTGCTGTTCTGTCCATTAAAGTCTTCAAGACCATGTAAGCTACATTGGAAAGATAGCAAAACAAAAAGTCTGGGAGCAGCTGGATGATGTCGGGTTATCTAGAACAATAGAGCAAACTATTAAAATATCATTTTTAATTAAAATGTTGGCACTTTGCATAAAGTGCTGCGCCCGGTTAAAGCATGCATTCCCCCAGATAACAAGCTGCAGTTAAAAACATCGCCCCTGATCCTCTAAAGTGTGGCATTATTTCAGACAATGTGGTGCTTTGTGAACTCACAACAGTACAACGGCTCTGCAGAACACTTCAGAAAGCCAAACCAGCACTGTTCTGTTTACTTAAACAGCCATTCATAAGTAAGAAAATGACTTAAACTGACATTACAATTTACGTTATTTTAGAATTATTAGACTAATCAAAAATATATTCATTCGATTAATGGATTAGGTGCAGACCTACAGGGCTGAAGTGAGCAACCGCTCTAAGTGAGATGCGTTTCATTGACAACTACGGCAGAAGAGATTTGTAACTTTCACTAATATCTACATTTGTTGTTGTCTTATGACTCCCATTGTGGTGTTTAAACATTAAATCAACACCCACTTCATATCATATCATGGTTGTTTTTTGATTTGCTAAGTTTCCCGCATCCAGTTATAAAATCTTTGTGGGAGGCCAGTTGTAGTTTGTTTTCTGATTGAAGATTTGAGACGAGATTAATTTTCTTGTCACTAAATATACACAAGACAGAAGTGAGTGATAAGGCACCATATCTCACTAAAATAAATTAAAAACATTTTTAAAGTATATTTTAAATAACTTTAAGTCATATACTCTTATAGTGGAGGTATCCAGGTTTTAATGTAAGTGGTGTAAACATACCCCACCTGGCCTGTTCTTTCTCTGCCCCAATCTACAGGAGGTCAAAGTCAACTGGGCCACGACGCCAACCAGCCAGAAAAAAGACACAAGTAGTAAGTACGAGTGCTTGTCAGTGGGGCTAATACTTCTTCATGGAGAAATCTACACAGAAATTATATTTTTTACATGTTTTTTAGTTCTCTCCCAAAGTTCTGTGTTTTTGCGATTCAAGCACATTGTGTCACCAGAAAGTGTCAAATTTCTGTTGCTAATAAGATATTCAGAATCTTTGTGAAGATCAATTCATTTGATGTAACAAAGCATCTCACTGTTCTTTCATCAAAGAAAGTGATTCAGTTATAAAACAAAACATTCCATATTTTTGTAAAATGAAGTGCTCTGAATGTTTTATAAGTGATGTTAATGAATTGGAAAACATTTTTATTGCATATTCTTTCATATTTTTATTGTCTTTTATCCACTTGTCTGGAATGCGGCCTTTTGTCCTCAGCCTGTTGACTAACAGTGACTATAATGAGCAGGAGGTCACAATACTGGAAGAAAGTACTAGATTGTGTATTGTAACATACTCTATGTCTAAGCGGTGTCTCCCCCCCCTCATAGATCACTTTCACGTCTTCGTTGGAGACCTCAGCCCAGAAATAACTACAGAAGACGTCAAAGCTGCCTTCGGTCCATTTGGCAGGATATCGTAAGTATCAGGATTTATTGACAATGATGATTAAATCAACGCTTAACGGAAGAAAATGAACAAGAAGTGGTATTATTCTCTGTTCCTCATACTTTAAAAAGTAAGAAATATTGGGTAATAAAATACATGGAGGGTGGGGGAATTTCAATTGAAGAGCTTTTACTTTTAAACCATTATTGTTTTAGATTTCCAGTTCTGTCAAGCTCTGTGTTGCGCTGCATGTTTTTAATGTACTCCTGCTGATGTGTTTGTCCACAGAGATGCTCGTGTTGTGAAAGATATGGCTACAGGGAAATCTAAAGGCTACGGCTTTGTGTCTTTCTTCAACAAATGGGTTAGTACAGAGACGTCACTCACCACATTTTCCGTACTGCATCGTCGCGTCAGATCTCGTTGGATTAACGATTCCCTTTCCCTGTTCCAGGACGCAGAGAACGCCATTCAGCAGATGGGTGGTCAGTGGTTAGGAGGCAGACAGATTCGAACTAACTGGGCCACAAGAAAGCCCCCCGCCCCAAAGACCACCTATGAAAGTGCGTAGTCGTGATGGAAGTGCACGTTTTGCTTGTTTACACGGGATGTTGGGTTCATGTTTTAACAGTAGAAATGTCTCTTGTCTCCTCTGGCAGGTAACTCCAAGCACCTATCCTTTGATGAAGTAGTGAGTCAGTCCAGCCCCAGTAACTGCACTGTGTATTGTGGCGGCGTCAGCACAGGACTGACAGGTAATGAATACTATTAGAAGTACCATCAGTATGATGATAACAGTGGTAGTATCGGGTATAACACGCTGGCAACACAGACGATACTCGGGAGCAGGATTCATTTATTGGGGATTTTAGTCTTTTCAGAGGAATTGTTGATAAAGTAATGCCTGTGTCAGCTAAAATGTTGTCAATATTCTGCTCAGAGGGGTAATTTTAAAGCTCTGTGGTGTCATCAGCAAAATGGTGACTGGCCTATGAATTTAATTTACAATCACCAAGAGACTCGTACCTGAGGATGTTAGTATGCAACATTTCTAAAGCAGCATATGTTTTTTTTTTTTTTTATCACGACACATCAATCCACATGGAAATTAAATCTAATGTTCCCTTTCTGTTTGTTCCTTCAGAGCAACTGATGAGACAGACCTTCTCTCCCTTTGGACAAATCATGGAAATCAGAGTTTTCCCAGACAAAGGCTATTCGTTTGTGAGGTATGTGGACATTTCATATTTACTTCCCTTTTTACTTCAAAGTGTGGCGCACAGGCTCCTGCTCCTGGTCCTCGGCAGTCTGGGGTCCTGCAGACTCTTATTCTAGCCATTTAATGGAGGACTGCAGCTTTGTATGTAGGGAGAATATATTTCACTACAAGGATGGAGACAAAACATGCAGTGCTCTAGATCATGAGGACCTTGATGGAGAACTCCTTGGTCTCTTTCTCCCTCTGTTTCTGTCCAGGTTTAACTCTCATGAGTCAGCAGCCCATGCCATTGTGTCAGTGAACGGCACCTCAATAGAGGGCCATATAGTCAAATGCTATTGGGGTAAAGAGACTCCGGACATGATGAACCCGATGCAGCAGATGCCTCTGCCCCAGGTAAGGATGCACATACTGTACATATTGTTTAAAGAAAGCCACTAGTTGCTGTCCTAGTAGAAGCTCATAGAACAACATAAGCAGGAGATAACATCTGGAAGGTAGTGCTGCCGTGTATCCCGAGTCTGTATTACGAATAACATCAGTCGATTTGAAACCCAGGAAGTGTTGAACTACATAATTACAAGGAAGGTGAAGCATGCCTCCTTAATTTAATGTTGAAGGGAGATTTGAGCTTCACATGAAGCAGGCTGTAACTATTCAAGTGCAAGAAAATAGGGCATGAATTTTGAACATCAAACTAATCGTTAGATTGCATTTATAGTTAACAAAAGAAAACCTTCTGTCAGCTTACCTGGGGCCCTCTAGCAGTTTTTAATAATTGCAGAGGTTGTCTGTGATCTTATTACTGTGTTAATCTATTAATGTCCATAATTTGTCAAAGTAAATATTGTTGTGCTCTACAGCAGAACAAGATGAGCTTCCCTGCGGCAGCCCAGCCCTACGGCCAGTGGGGCCAGTGGTACGGCAATGGGCCCCAGATCAGCCAGTATGTCCCGAACGGGTGGCAGGTCCCCACCTACGGTGTCTACGGCCAGGCTTGGAACCAGCAGGGCTTCAAGTAAGTAGCACGGTGTGAACAGTGCTCCCCTTCACCGCCTCCTTCTACTCCAGCGCTACCAGTGCTCTCTTC